ATATAGGATGATGATATTACTTTTAAGGCTCCTTATCTCGATTTAACTTGTTAAGATCGATCCTGAGAAAGAACAGTCAATTTCGGCAATTCCCGAGAATCTGTCATTCCCAGAAAGTGGCGACGGGTCAACTCTGGGATCAAGTTACATTCTAAAATTTATTGATTTAACTTTAAGGACGGAAAATACTCGTATGAGCTGAATGAATAAAGAAATAAATATAAATACATCGGTTATTCCCGGGATTAACGTACACGTAGAGATCATGTGAAATTGTAGATATTGCAAGATTAGCTACTAGAACTACATTATTCTGAATAAGAGCATATCGAGATAGAAATTGGATAAAAATGATATCAATTCATTATACTACAGTTAACAAGTATTACTACTGATATCATTAATGATAATTACTTTGCATTAATAGAAAAGCGGATTCTTTCAGGGAATAATATTTAAAATTTGGATGAAATATTCTGATATTGGCAATAGCGGAATAAAGTTAGATTTCTATTAAGGACAATGATTCTGCGATTAATCTCATCCAACACTAGAATAATCAATTATGATAAGCTAATCTACATTACAGTAGAGCAGTCTACAAGCATTTCCTTCATACATTCATGTATGATAATAAGAATCTCCAGCGACTAAAACTCTAAAAATCTTTAAATTTACACCTATAAAATTAATAATTGATGTATTCGTAGTATCTATATTCCCTGGCTCCTTATTCCATCCAGTTCACTGGAGGTTATTTATAGTGGATGTTGTAAGTAATACAGTAATGATTATACTACATGATATATTGAGAGTAAGTACAGTGATACGACATGAGTCAATAACTTCTACCGTGACTACCAGTATGCTCAGCTATTGTAGGAAAAAAATTCAAGATAAAATTTAATTGGAACAAATGGTGGTTTACTAGTTTTACACAGTAGTCGATTAGAAAAGCTAGCTAGACTACAACTTGCAGAGTGTCATAAATGAAGGTATATCAATAGATAGGCAATCTCTTGCAATGTAGTAATTAGATAGACGTATTCCAACGCTATTAACTATTCATAAAGTAAAGCGATATTTTAAAACTTTAAAATAAGCGATGTCCAAACATTTTGGTTAGAGTTTCAATAAATTTAGGGAGAAGATAAATGCCGGAACTATTTTAAATCATTAACGCTAAGATTTTAAACAACAGACGAGTCCACCTTTCATCAAGTTTTACTAAGCATCAACTACTCAACAATAAAGGCGGCCTAGAAGAACCGGGATATCAAAAACTAATCCGATCCTACTATGGCACCTATCGGTTAAATGCATACGCTTGATCCATTTTACAATTATCACGTTGCTTTACAATTACTAAAGTCATGATATTAGAATAGACGTGCTTAGAAGGTATGAAAAAAAGGAATTGTGCTAGCCATATGGTGGAATGACGATGAATAAAGGGGTAAAATGCGCAGAATAATCACTTAGTACTGTCTTGATACTAACTGGTTCGATGCGATTGATACAACAGAATAATAGCTATTTTTAGCAATTCAGGAAGACGAAAGTATGGCGTTATCTGGATATTTGAAACTTGTGAGACTGACCGTTTCACCAAATCTAGTACAGAAAAGAGCATTGAGGAGGGTAACATGCAGAGGCTAGTTGTAACATTGAATATCATATGGAACTTGATATCCAATCCTACGATGGTGGAAAACGACTTTCAGAAAGTATACAATGCATGCAGTGAGTAGCCACAATTCTAGATGTGGCAGTTACGATCGAACATGGTAGCCTTTGCAGGGAAAATAGCAATATTGTGACATTTTAAAAGAAGAATACTATAATGTACAGTAGTCTCATGTCCCAAAAAAAAAAAAAATCATCCAATAACCTCAACAAACTACTGTACAGGCTACATCATTCAGTTTTTAAAGCTATCCTTTCCAGTACTATTAAGGTTTAAATCAAGCTGTCGATTTATCTTTTGTACGAGTAGAATTTTTTCCAATGAAGAGAATATTGGTTATTCCCATTTCATGTTAACATAGATTGTATGAGTGGAATTGAACACGGGAAATGGTTTAGATCGATAGGTAATTCTTCTTTAAGAGTGTTAAAGTAGAGGTTGGATAGGCTCCATCGATCTATCTGACGAATCAAGTATGTCGAAAGAAAGTGACCGATTACACCATTAGCAAGAGTAGGCAAACTACTCGTCTCTAACTGTTTGTTTTTAACGGCTGAAATGGATCAATTTAGCCTCTTTCTCAGTCCATATCGAAAGAGTCATACCTTTGAAGAGCTAATACCGACTCATTGCCTTGCTAGAAGGAAATGATGGCAAGAAGACTATATCTACATGCAAAAGAAAGAAATTGGCGTATTTCTTTGAAAAAGACTTGACAGTGAATTGAACAGTACCATTGAAACTACAATCAAACAATGCAACCAAGTAAAGATGGTACCAAGAGTGAGTGGAGAAATTGGCCCATTTTACCAGTTGAAATAGATCAAACTACAGTCTATTGATCATTCATTACTCATCCGATTGGATTTATACGATGTATAGAGTACCTAGGTAAGATAGTTCAAAAACCAATGGAATAAGTTTACAAGATCAATTTTAACTTACCACCAAACTTTCCCAATGAAACTAACCAACGACGCCACCTTTCCTAGTTGACGTCGCAGACTCCCGGCTATTGTCCCACTGGAGTGTGATGAGTAATACGTCAGGCAACATATGATATCGTCTTGGGTCGGCTCATGTGCACCTACGCGCGCTGAATGCAGTCAAACGACAGTCATACAGTACTGGATAGACGCACCAATTTGCCTTGATTGTGTATTGTACTGTACTGCAGAGAGAGAATGGTACTGTACTGTACTGTATGACACAAGCGGTCTGGTCTGTACCAGCGCGGACCATACAGTCGACTACAGTACAATGTACAGTAAATCCATGCCCACAGTACTGTACTGTACAATGTACAGTAAATCCATGCCTACAGTACTGTACAGTACAATAACTGCATAAGCATGATGATACACTGTACAATGTACTGTAGTGTACTGTACAATGTACTGTACTGTATAAAAGAACAGTACAGTACAGTACAGTACTGTATGAAAAGGATGACAGTCTTGATAGTGTACGAATAGTACTGTAAAGTTAATATGAATGAAATACTCTATGTTTGCAAGTGAATTTTATCACTATTTTTATTTCTATTTGTCCTATAACGCTTTTTATAATTCAATACTAAGTGTGGGCATTCATTTCTACGAAAGCGAGTGAGTTTACTTGAAATTTTCAATCCTTAACGTCAAATTATAACTGAAGGATAGCACTACTGTACAGTTCATAAATGCTTCGCCGTTTCTTCATTAATTTGTGTACTGTACTGTACAGTGTACACTGTACAGTACGTTACTTTGAAGTGCTACTGCTTCGTGTACTGTACTGTACTGTACAGTACTGTACACTGTACAGTCTGGCATAATCTACAGTACTGTACTGTACTGTACTGTACGACGTGTTGGCCAACTGCGGTACTTTGTAATGCTGTAGTGTACTGTAGAGTAGAATACAGAAGTCCTTCTTTAAAGGTGGCAGAGATTCTCGGCTACGCGTCAAAGACTTTCTGGTACACAACCATGATTTGTAGTACGCACTACGCAGACGCAATACTGTACAACTGGTGCACTGCTAGACACAGTACAGTATTGTGTACTGTCTAGTACAGTACATTGTACTGTATCAAGAGCATCTTAGGCAAATAGCAAATCCTGTACAGTACTGTACAGTGTACAGTACAGTACTCTCATGGCTTGAACTTGATGTTCGTGATTTGCAAGTGATATTAATTAAAAAGCATCAGCAAACCATGATTATACGAGTGTTCCGTAAAATGCCGATTTCTTGCTCGGAAATTCGATTAGGAAAATGTTTCAAATACAAACGTACTGTACAGTATAGCGTACACTAGTGTAAAGTATACAGAATGGTCTCCTTTCATATTGATATACGGGTCACAGAGTTTCGCGAGAACTACTGCGCACTTTACTGTGTTGTAGTTCTATTTTTAGCGTTGGACGCTGCATCGCTATTAAAATGTTCGGCTGTATCGTAGAATACGATAAATATGTAAAAAGGATTCAGCTTAAATAGTTTAAAAAATTAAAACACTTGAAACTCGTATGAAAGATAATCAGCATCATCATAAAAAAAATGATGTTTCGCTCGTCGATATTTCCCTCATTTAAGAGGTTTCACCAGCAGACTTCATACTGAATAGCGAATTAGTATGCAATACATTATACATGGTGTAATAGTCATCATGGACTATCCACTACTGTGTAACACTAAGACTTCATGATTCCAGCTTTATCGTCATGGCTATAGAATAAATCTGCCATGGTGCATTATTCCTATGAAAAAGAATACAAAACAGACGACTATTTTGGATATCTTGACAGTTGGTGGGATTCTATGGTAAAGACAAGTAGTAATATTACTATCTAGTAAGTATACGTATGTACTGATTTTAAATGGCTATTCGGAATACAAACTTCCTTACTTGCAATCAGAGATCTACAAATCACTGTGAACGTGCAACTATACGTAGTACGAAGTTGCATGGTGCGCCTACCTGTCAAAATGTCTTGACTCTCTCTTTGCGAATACTACTACTGTATATATATATATATATACATACTGTAAACTTCACATAACATAATATATAATTTACCATTTTTACCAACGTGAGGGAAGGCTGATACATATGTAGACGGTAATAGCAAAGTATTGGTTGTCAAGATATTCGTATGGAATAAAAAAAAATAACTATACAATGTCGACGAATTAAATGACAATACCCCCCATCATTCAATATTTAATTCAGTTACACCGTCATAGCCATTAGTCCTCAAGTGCATACTAAAAAAGTTGATGATGGCATGCACAAAAGATAATGTGGTCTGGTACTTTAAAAAAACAATTATGGCAATATTACTCTAGAGTAGCGTCTCACATTACTCTTAAAATTAATCAAATTATGTCAATGAGTTAATTATAGTACAGTATACGCATAAACTGGACTAGAAGAATCGTTTCATTCACTATAAAGTATAACTAATCATCTACTAGACAAGTAAAATAATATCTTACTTTACTCCCTCTTAAACGTGAATGAACAGCATATGTGTCTATCATTCTTATGCAGTTCAGCAATCTTTTCATTCCTTTCATACTTTCAACAAGTAGAACATGTCTATGGTAAAAGTGGCATGATAGAGCTACTTGATCGAGAAAAGATTATCTATGCTCAATTTCGTATAGTATATCAAGCTACTATTGCTTCAATAGCGCTTATCGATAATTATCGATAATACATATTGCGCGAACGTATAGCAGGAACTACTATAGTACAATCAGAGATGGTGAGAGACCATTAAGAAAACGTTTTCATTTTAGCGGTTCCTATTGAAAGTAATATGTGCGTAAACATTGAAGACCATGGTAGAAAATGAAATCGTGTGTACCGCAGATATTTTCAATATCATACGTCTACCCAATATTAAGATTAGAACTTTGAAGTAATAAATGCATATTTATTTATTTGTATTGTACAAGTATACAAAGAGCAGCAACATCCATTAATAGACTATGT